GAAAGGAGGATATCGCCCTGATTATCTTCTCACCTAATCATTCATATCTGTGCTAAACACCTCCACTTCAGCTTTGCTCTCATTTGCAACTTGAACCAGAAAGCGTTGGAATCGCAGTTCAACACTCTTCAGACTGACCATTCGCCACACAGAGAAATTATGACTGCCCGTGAATGTATCCGAATATCCTGAGCAAGATGCAGATCATAAAATGGTAGTCGCAGCCTTTCTCGAGAAATACGCCAAGAGCCTGAAATAACAGGGACAAAGACGAAAGCAGACTAGTTTTTTTCGAGAGGTTTTTAGCAGTCTAAGGTGTTACTCAAGTGGCAAACCAGCAAAATATACTAGAAATTTTTTTATGCCCTAAAACACAAAAACGATGTCAGGCAAAATTTTACGCTTGTGAAAAGGACAGGAAAACGAATGGATTTTCTTTATGAGACAGAGGGCAAAGATAAACGGTGCCCCTAATTCTTCAGATCTAAATGAAATTGAATGAAAACTAGCTATGGTATTTACTTGCTTTTAATAGTACATCATGCTTGAGAGAAGGTTTATTCGAGAAAAATGAAGTGAAGGCAAAAACGGGGCTGTCCTCAAAAAAGAAGGAGGCAAAAATTGCACAGTACAGACAAAATTTTGAAAAAAAACCTTTAAAGTTCTTTTTTTTCATTCTCAGCGACAAAGGAACTAGAGCGGACCGAAGCTAGAAACATTAAAATTCTTTTTTAAAAGATGGGTATTTTAACTATGAAAGCTAACAGCAGTCAACCGTAACAAGGCGGCTGCAGGGTTCGAACCAGCAACCCTCAGTGTCGTAGCCCAACGTCCTGCCTGTTGAGCTACCCAGCACTTGCGCGGTAAGGAACAAAGGTTTCATTTTTTTGATTACCTGTACAAAAACCTCACAAACAAAAGGAGATGCCGTTCCGAATCCCGCACCCACAACCAAACATTCATATACGTGAATGACAAGCACTCTTTTCAATTTTGACATCAGCTGCGATTCGAACCAGCGAGTGTTAGAATTGTACTCCAACACTCTACCGACTGAGCTATCCGGCACACCATCGCTTGAGGAATTTGCGATTGATCAGTGATGGCTCTGCAGCGAAGACACTGTTACCACCCATAGATCAAATTTTTTATGTGCGTACGTGCTGAATGGCTCAGTTGGCTGAGTGTCAGACTTTCAGTCTAACAGGCACCAGTTCGAGTCTCGGCTGAGGGAGAAGTTAAGATTCGCAGTGTTTGGGGTTCACTGCTGCGACATTGGTCGTAACGTCCCCTTCCCTTGCCGAGGTGAGTAAACTGGTAAAAGTTGGTTGGAAGTTCTTGATACAGAAGCTAAACCAATGTCAGTTTCAGTGCCTTCGTCAAGACTGGAACGAGCGGTGACCGGAGAAGTTCAACGTCGACTCAACAACACCTTTTTTTTGAAAAGTAGCATATTCTTGGCCAAAATTAAATTTATCTATGAAAACTAGAAACAGCGGATCATAACAAAA